ATAGATAATAACTATGGGTTATTCTAGTGGCATTTCATATAGTTATTAACCAACTGAAAGTAGAGTGAGTATTAATAAGGGAAGGTTCTATGAAAAAAGTAGATCTAGATAGAAGTTTATGAATAAAGAAATACACGTACATATACGTCAGTGTATTTATGGACATATGTAAATAAATAAACATACATAAGCATATGTGTAGTAAAGATTTCAGCCTAGTCCAAAGAGATGTCTGGACTTTACCCTTGATTTCCGGGAGGTAATCTACATCATACCTGATGGAAGTGTTGTGTTGTTTAGGATAAGGGCTGACTACACCCACAGAGTGACCAGTTACATGATTAGGGTTAGGCTTTGGGTCATCTGATATCAGTTGACCCGGGGACTGAAGTTAAACCATTTGGGCAGTTAGTTGATCAATCATGCCTTCGTAATGAAGCCCCAATAAAAAATCTGGACCCTGAAGCTTGGGTGAAATTCCCTTGTTGGCAGTCTTGCATACTACATTGTCACATAACACCCATGTGCTGTATTGTCAATACTGATGCTAGAACAGGCTTTGCATTTGGAACCCTCCCAGACACTGCTCCATAGGGCTCTTCACTTGGACTTTGACCTGTATCCTTTTTTTGTAATCTGTAACCATGCGTATAATAGTTTCCAGTGAGTTCTGTAAGTCCTTCTAATGAATTACCAAATCAAAGGGTGGTTTTGGGAACCTCCTGAACTTGCAGTTGGTCAGAAGTGAGGATAGTATTGGGTACTGTTTCCTCAAACCTTGCATTTTGGCTAACTTTGGATATTTATGTATGGTCCAGTTTCCTAAAATGCAGTGTGCAAGTGTCAAGGAAGAGATAAGGAAGATTAAATTGATTAAAAAAAACCTCAGCAAAGATGAAGAAAAATGAAAGTTACTGGGATACGATGAAAAGTTGCCTGGTTTGGGTAGGGGGAAATCAGATGAGAGAGAGAGATGCTATGGGAAGAGTAACCGCTTTGGAGTTTGGGATTAGGGAACTAATTTGCTTGGAGAATAGTTCAAAATGGATCTTGCACATTTATTCTTGAGGAGCTGGAGAGGTACTCTGTGAATTAGGAGAGTAAAATTTCCCTTTTGGTGATTTGATAAAAATCAGGCTATCCTTCCTTGCTTGCTTCTTGCCTATATGGACCCCCCCCTTTTTATTCTTTCTGGCTTCCTTCACCATTCCCATCCTGAGACTTTTAAAGGGAAGGGTATTTTGTTTGTTTTATTTTGTTTTATTTTAATGGGAAAGGAACAGAGAAAAGAGATGAAGTGGGGAAGGAAGACAAAGTTGGGGAATAGGTAAAAGCTGTCCCTTTTCTGATTCTCTTAGGAAGGAGACTTGTCACTCAATGTTTTGTTTGAACACTGTACATTGTGCTTCACTTTATTGTAACCCTATCATACCACAAGCAGTTATTTTTATTCTGATTCACTTACTGAATCTCGAGGTCCTTAAGTGCAAGAAATGTTTGTTATTCTCTATCACTAGCCAGCTGGAGAGGGAAAGTAACATTGATTGAGTTGCTATTGTCTATGTCCAAAACACTTTGCTAAGACATAGATATCATCAAATCCACTGGTTTCAAACTTCTTAATTTTCATAAAAATGTTTTAATGAACTTTAATAAACTTCCACACTCATTAGGTTAATATTTATGATTTTTTATTGTAATGTTAAATAAAACTGATAAACATTCTTTTAGTGGACTCTAAATACTGTAGGGTTTGATACCTACCATTATCCATTTATTTAAAAAATTTTTTTTACCATCATCCATTTATAAAAAGACACAAACAAGCTCTTACTACTGAAAAATTTCATATTCCTTTCTCTGTTTAAATTTGTATTTCTGTTACACTTTTTACCACCAGATTTTATCCTTCTGTAATGTATTTTTGTGCATGAATTACCTTTTTATGTAATATGCTATGCATATATTATGAAGGTAATATATTTTTATGCATATAAAATGAATTTTAAAATACCTCCATCATTAAATTATAATTAAAATATACTTAGTAAAACAACATAAATGTATTAAAATTTTGTTAAATAATTATTAAACAAAACATTTTATTGGAAATGCATCTTTTAATTAGGTGGGTGAAATTAATCTAGTTTTTTTTGTTTAAACTTTTTTTGGATAATAATACGCAGTGTTGCTCAGCATCATTTTTATTTCCCTTTTTGTCTTTTAGAAATAGGAGGAGGTTCAGGATAGGGGCCCCCTCAGAATGTGCCACTTTGGCATGTGGATTATTTTGAGTTGAAGGCACTTGAGACCCTGTGGGGTCATGAGAAACTATTGTCCCTCCCTTAACCGTACAGAAGAATCTAAATTGGGGATCTTTCCCAGAATAAGATTGTTAACAGCAATAAATTATATCTGAGCGACACATTTATATGATAGCGCAAACATCTAATTACCACATATCTTTTTTTTTTTTAATAGGGAGGGAGAGAGAGACAGAGAGAGAGAGGGAGAGCAGGGAGGGGCAGAGGGAGAAGGAGAGAGAGAGAAACCTAAGCAGGCTCCATGCTCAGCGGGGAGCCCTCCATCTCACCATGCTGAGGTCATGACTTGAAACAAAATCAAGAGTCAGATGCTTAACCAGCTGAGCCAGCCAGGTGCCCCCCACAAACATCTCTTATCGCCTTGTAAAGTGCATTCCTTTCCTTGAAATCCCAGGCCCCCACCCCCTTCTCCTTATTTAAGAATGATACATATACCTCATTTTGTTTGACTGTCTTTGGGATTTCCATGTCTATGTGGATTCCCCGTATGTACGCCTATTAAACTTGATTTTCTCCTGTTAATCTGTCAATTTGATTCTTAGTCCAGCTAGAAGGACCTTGAAGGGGACAGGAGTTCTTGTTCCCTGAGAAAGGGATGAAGAATTCTTGCTCGCTGACTGGTGGAAGTGCTGAGAGATGTGTTCACATAATTAATTGGGTGGTAATTGAGCAGTTTTATTTCAGCCATATCACTTGTTTCAGCTTCTCTATTATCAAATTATCTATCATCAAAAATTATTTTTATTTGCCTATCAGCTGATTATTTTATTAGGTCCTTTTTCAGTTTTGTTAGAAGCAAAGAATTAGAAACCACCTGACTTTCCAGTCATTAGAACCATTAGAGACATGCAGTTCTAGGAAATACACCAAAAAAGCCTTTAGTAAGGTTTCCTAAATAGCTAGTAATTGTATCTGTTAGTGTTTTACTTATAGGCGTATGTTTACCTCAACATTTTAGGAGATGCTAGGGAAAGTTAAATATTGTTGATTTCAATATACCTATGTCAAAAGGATTTTTCTTGATAAAATGTTTTTATTGAGTGCCTCAAACATGTTTTAGTCAAAATCATTCATTCAGTGAAGACCATTGTCTGCCTTGGAATCATTGGTAAAATTGTTCTGCATTGTCAAACAAATCAGATTTACTTTTATGATAAAAAAAGTCTGGCTTCATTTTTCAGTTCACATAAATGATTTGACTTGTGTTTCTGTGACAACCATGTTCTGATATTTAATCCTCAGTAGATAAATGAGAGACAAGGAACCGGGGTGCCTGGGTGCCTCAGTCGTTAAGCATCTGCCTTCGGCTCATGTCATGATCCCAGGGTCCTGGGATTGAGCCCCGCATCGGGCTCCCTGCTCCACGGGAAGCCTGCTTCTCCCTCTCCCACTCTCCCTGCTTGTGTTCCCTCTCTCACTGTGTCTCTCTCTGTCAAATAAAAAATAAAAAATCTTAAAAAAAAAAAAAGACAAGGAACCTTGTTTTTGTTGCTTGGAGGGAATAAGTTGACACTCATGTTTTTTATTGGAAACTCTCGTAGCTTTGCTTCACAGGATTCTTCTGACAACTAATGCATTCTTTGATCATGTACATGGGTTGGAAAAGATAAACTTTTTAAAGAAAAGTATAATCAACTTGTGGCCCCATTCCATAATGTATCTGAAAATAGAGCATCCTGTGACACACGGTTCCCCATTTATAATTTGTAGCTTCATTCTCTACAGAAATAATTTATCAAACAGTAATCCCTATAGTCAGTTCTATGGTATTTCACTTAAAGAGGCTTTGCAGACAAAAATATTATGAACCATTTATTTCTTGTTTAGCACTTAAAAGAACTTTTTATATACCCCAGCCATTGCAGTACAGTTCTATTCAAGATGCCATTCTTTTTGTAGAGTCGGTAAAGGTACTTGTGAGAGGAGAGGCAAGAGAGGAGAATCTGCATGTTTCCACTTGGACCTCTGACCCATTGTCAGGCAGCTTAGTTTTTAGGAAAGGGTTGAATACAAGTGGAAATTGAAGACTCAGGAATTGCCATCTGTTGTTTATTTTTTTTTCTGTGTACTCTTCAGAAATCTGTTTACCTTTAGCACGACAAATATATGGTAATTTGGAAGATACCTGTTCTAGTATTTATAGCAACCTCTGTTTTATAGCCAGGGAAAGTGAGACTTAAATGAAATAATTGCCTGTGGTCATTAAGCTAATAAATGGTTTAGTCAAGGAACTCCAAAACTTATTTTTCCTTCTATGTCACACTACCTAGGACATAGTGTGGTACACAGATTTTTACGATGTATTTAATGAATAAATAACTGCATGTTGTTTTGTGAACTCTTACATACTTATTGTGGTAGTTTCTTGAATTTTGAACTGCTGGATGAATGTAACACCACAGATTATTCATTACAGACGACTACTGAAGATACCTTGTGTTTTCGAAGGTCAGGTTGATCCTACTTCAGTTCTTTGGAAGGTGTCTGTGGAAGTGATTAATAGAACAAAGAACTTAGGCATTAATGTTTTATCAGTGAAGGCAGAGACTTGTAACACTGTGGTAGTGCTTGTTTGATAGGGGTTAACTGTATGTTGATAACCATAGTGAGATGTCCATGAGGCAAACATATTTCTATGTTTATATGACCAGTATTTTTTTGTTTTCTGTGTTACAGGTATTCTCTTAAGCCAAATGACCAAATCTTGGCTGAAGACAAACACAAGGAATTGTAAGTACATTAAACCCTAGTTTACTCTATGGAGATGTATGTAAACAATCTGATTTTTTAAATTATATAAAATATAAAGATGTAATTAACACTATGACCTTGATTCTAGTAAGATTAGGATAATTTACCTTACAAACAGTTAACATGGGAAATAGTTTTTCCTGCATGCACGTTAAAACATGTAGTATTGTATTCCATCATCTAGACTAAGGGCATATTGGGAAATATGTAATTTCATGATCTTTCCCCAGATAAAATATTAAATTGTTGTTAATTTTGGCTTTTAGTCAGTTGACTTCCCCACTCTCATGCTTAAGATGGAGAAATAAAATTTTGTTTCTTTATGAAAAGGTAAATGCCTAGTATTGGTTGGCATTAGGCAAAACACTTTAAATATGAAGTTTGAAATATGAACAAAATTTTGTTCCTTTTAAAAATTTTAATGTTCTTAGGGTTCTTTCAGGTAAAAATAACTTGAACAATATGATTCCGGGATCCCTCCATGGCTGTATTTCTGCTCTTGTAGTATTTAAAAGATTATTACTTCATAGGAACTTTGAGGTTTATTTAAAAATGACAGGTTTGGGAATTTTAAAAATTCATCTTAATCTTTTCAGTATCATGACATTGTCCAAAGAGGACAGCTAAAAACAAATTTATATGGTTCTATCTTCTAGTTAGTCTACTTTCTTTTTCCCATTGTACAGTAAGAAAGTTCTGATGACCTTAATTATTTTGCAAACACCTAATGTCAGATAATACTGTAGAATTAAGAATTTGAGGAACCTGTGGCTGGCTGTACACCTTCATGTTGGACCACACTTATTCTTGATAATACTTAAGGTTCTATCCAATTAATAAATATATTGGTGAATTTCACATGCTTGCTTGGGGATTTCCCTAATGTTTGACACTCCCTAATGTTAAAGATATTTTAACATTGAACTCAGGTCCCTTATGGTTTAGTTTATTAATACAGTCTTCAATTTGTATACATCTGTATGGAGAATAACTTTTTTTTGCTAGAGTCCTTCAAGACTATTATTTTTACACACAGCATAGGGAATATAGTCAATGATATTGTAATACCATTGTGTGGTGACAGATGGTAGCTACACTTGTGATGAGAATAGAAAAACATATAAAGGTGTTGTATCACTATATTGTACAGCTGAAACTAATGTAACATTGTGTGTCAACTATACTCAAAAAGTCCACACAACAAAATATTTTTTTTCAAGGTTATATAATGATTTTTGAAAATACTATTAAAACTTTTTAAAAACCTTTTCAAATTATTTTATTTCTTCTTTCATATTGAAGACATTGTAATAAATGTTAATCTTAAAATGGTAGGACCCATGTGTAGGGAGATGATTTCTTCAAGAGTTCTTACAGTTGATATATCCCATTGTTATGCTAGCTTTTCAATTTTCATATTTTGTTCTATCCTCATTTGATAATAATCTCCATAGTGGGTTGTCAAGAAATTTTATTCAGTTTCTTTCTTTACTGCTAAGTATAATCAATGAGGGTAGTGACTGATATAAATTCCTCTCTGTTAAAATATTAATTAATTCCAAAAAAAGTATTATTGAATTCTAATTAAAAACTCAAGGGATTGGGGTGCCTGGGTGGCTCAGTCTGTTAAATGACTGCCTTCTGCTCCGGTCATGATCCCAGAGTCTTCTGGCTCCCTGCTCAGTGGGGAGTCTGTTTCTCTTTCTCCCTCTGCCGCTCCCATCTGCTTATGTGAGTGCTCATGCTTGCTCTCCCTCTCTCTCTCAAATAAGTAAAATCTTAAAAAAAAAAAGACCTTAGATATAGTACAGTCTTGTCTCATTAACAGTATCAAGTATAAAACATATTGGTTCAGTGTCAATAACATGTCCTTTTCCAGGATTTTCTTTTTTTTCAGGCTACTTGGAACATCTTCTGGATTTGATTGTTACATCCCTGTTCTTATCATTCTTCTTGCAGATTTCTATTCCTCTTTGGATATGCTATATAGTAATTATTTTATAAATTAACATCTATCACTAAGATTATATTGGAGTTACTCCTTTTTGGCTGTGTGTTACATTCACTCTGAGGAAAATGAGTATTGTCCCTGGTCTTTGCTAGCTGTGTTCGAAATGGGTATCATTGGTCACACCGGAGACTGCGAGGGAAAGGTAGATATTTAACATAAACTTGCAATAATTATTAGAAAATCTCTTCAGGGTATATAGTCTTATGGTGGATTAATAGCTCAAATTTTTAATCTAATGTAATTGCTTTGGAAAAGAAAATTGTATATAGTGTTATGACAAGAAAAATGCATTTAGATTATTAGACCTTTTCTGTTATCACTGCTTAAAAAGCAATAAAAAATTACATTCTCTAGGTTACTCTTTGCTTTACTTATTTCAATTAAAAAGGTGGTGGAAAGGGGTCTAGAACCTTATCAGTGGCCACGTGACTTGTGTCTTAACATTTAATATATACACATTTTATAGAAAACACAAATTTTGCCAGCCATTTTAAAATGGGAGCTACTGTACAACTGGGTTAGTCTTAAATGATGTTATTTTTCCTGTGCAATTAAAGTGACTCTGTGGAATATTATGCAGTTATTAAAATGTTTTTAGGAAAAGATTTAATATCATGATTAAGTAGGTGAAAAAGCTTGCTTATACATATCCTAGAATGAAATTACAAAATAGTAGATTTTTGGGTGACTGGATTATGGATGAGTTTTATTTTCTTCTTTGTGCTTTTATGTGTATTTTATTTTTTAATTAAAAAATTGTTTATTAAAAAATTGCAAGACTCAGTAACTGATTATAAAGAACTCAATAGCTTTATCAAGACTCAATGACTTCTCTTTCACTACCTATAACCAATAACTAGAATAAGATAGCTTCTGCTTCACTGTACCCGCCAGATTGTATACAATTTTTTTTTTTTTTTTGTGGTTAATCCTAATCTGAAACCATACAGAGAAGGAAATGCTGGGAAATAACAGTTCTGGTTGACAAAGTATAAAATTTACCACGCTTGGATTAATCATTTAGTTTTCTGAATTTAATGTCTTTATTTGTGAAATGGTGATAATTCCATGTTTGTCTTAATATGTTAAATGAGGTTAGATGAAATTATATGTGTAAAAAAGTTTTTGAACTATGAAAAGGTTATATAAAGTTGTGTGATGTAAGTTTTTGTGAGTGTGATGTTTATGCAAACTCGAACTGGCTTCTGCTCTTGGAGTAGCTGCCTCTCAGATATCATGGTAGGATTATCTTAGTGCTTTGCTATTTTATTATTATTCATTAAGCAAATGATTTCTTTAATTAGCTACTTTTCTTTTAGTCTATTCAATAATCCCATTGTATAGTTTCTGAGTTTCTAGCCTGAAATTCTTTACGCAGAAAGTGCTAATGGACTTCTTTGTTCTCTCTTTGTTGTTTAAAATTTATTATTATTATTATTATTTTGTTCTCTATCTCTGATGTTTTGGGTGGAAGGGTGATGTGTTTCCTGAAACTTTATCCAGAGCATTTTAGTCTAAGTGTAGTTCATTGATCCTTTGTTGTAAACAATTTACTTGACAGTATTTCAATGTGTAATATCTATGGGGTAAATATTCTTTAGGGCCAGTATGGGATGGAGAAAGCAGAAACTGCTGATATGTTGAATTCTTATTTTCTTTGGTCTGCACCAAACAGGAATATTTTGAGAATGAAGACAGATTTCTGCCTGAAAAATAGTGTAAGGGTTATGCCAACACTGTCTATATCCCCTTAAGGATTGAGTCAGACTTTTTGGGAATGTTACGGATTTGGGGATACTTTTAGTATTTATTAGCAGCTCATCCAGTCCTTGAAAACATTTTCTTTACTAACTATACTTACTGATTTATTTTTGGAAAGTATGAATGATTAAATAACATATATTAAAAAACAAGGAAAAGAGGGCCTTATTTCAGTTACTTTTTTTTTTTTTAAGATTTTATTTATTTTTTTTATTTGACACAGAGACAGAGATAGTGAGAGAGAGAGCACAAGCAGGGGCAGCGGCACGCAGAAGGAGAAGCAGGCTTCCCGCTGAGCAGGGAACCTGATGTGGGACTTGATCCCAGGACCCCGGGATCATGACCTGAGCTGAAGGCAGCCGCTTAACTGACTGAGCCACCCAGGCACCCCTATTTCAGTTACTTTTGTGCTTTAATTTAATCCTCACAGCAATCCTAGAATGTAAATATTATAATCATTCCCATTTTATGGGAAACAGGCTTGGAACAATTCCATAACTTGTCTTATAGTAGAAAAGGATAGACTGTGATTTGATTTCAGGTCTATTTTATTGCTTTGTACCTTGCTAAATTCAGTGACTTAGGAAAAATAATATTTATTCTTTTGGGAGAAATAATATTTAAAATGAACATACCTACTTCACAAAGTAGTTAAAGGTACTTGTGATGGATATTATATTTCATAAGTTTTAATATGGTTTAGTAGAAATATGCCATAATTTGTAGGTAATACTGTATTTTGGGGGGTTGTTAATGTCTAAGGTAAAATCTTAGATAATCTGAGTTCACGTTGATGAATGGAAATCTGATATTTCTAAATGACTAGGTCATTTCTTCAAGTTCAGTGTACTATAATTTTATTCTTTGTGATGCTAGCTCCCTCTGTGGAACTTCATTATGATTGCAACTTGAGTTTGATTATTTAGCAAAATGATTGAAACATTTAGAATAGATTTTAAATTTTTATTGTAAAATTTTACTTTATATCCTAATTCCAAGTGTTTTTCTTGTTAAAATATTGCTTTTAGAAAAATGTCTTACCTCATATATATTGAATTTTAATAGTACATGTGAAATGAAACCACCTTCCTCAAGCATTCCTGCAACTTTTATGCTTTTTTGTTTGGGAAGGCCAGAAATACTTGCAAGTTCTACGTCTGTAGCTCTGTGTTAGGTTAGACAGGAGATTAGAAAAAAGTCTAATGGA